TCCACCAAGTGATGCCGATTCTGCCAAAAGTTCTGCAGTTATAATGAGCAAATCCAATCGCTTCGATACGTCAACGCTCTCGCTTCAAAATTAGATTATCCGTCGATAATACGTTTCATTCTCGCCGCGAATGTGGCTCCTTGCCAAAGAGGAAACGAGAAGAATGAAAAAAAAGGAGAAAAGCTTAGGCAGGGTTATGGTAAGAGTGTCATGTTGTCATCCTCTTCCTGTCTGAGCCTCTCATTAAAAAAGCCTTGGCCTAGGGCCCGTCATAGGAAAAGTTGGTTGGCGTGAAATTGTCTCTCGTCTATCTCCACTCTTCTTGGCTCCTGCTCAGCCTCGTATTTTCTTTCTTTTTTTCTTCCTATTTTTTTTCCCTTTCGTTCTTTCTACACATGCTTTTCTAATTGCTACGGGAGCGGCCGCCAAATGCTTTTCTCTCCCTATCCTCTCCTCTTCTCCCCTCTCTACGTGCTAAACACGTCCAGGTGCTCCTCCTTTATCTACTCGTCTTTGCAAGGACCGCTTTGAAGCATAAATCTGAGCTGAAGGATGAAGGGAAGACTCCATATAAATGTGCAGGGGTGGAGCCAAGAAACAAAAGCACCGGGGGTCTAATGGAGCACATAATGGCCACTCGCACGTGACAGCCATGAATCCAACGTATGGCGAGGGGGAAAAAAAAAGAAGAGAAAAAGCTGGCCATTCTGGAGTAGGTCTATATGCCTATTTCCCTTGGGTGAAACGAATATCTAGAGATGTCGCAGGGATATACCTCACGCGAACGAGATTGATCTGTCGCATCCAAGGTGTCAAGATATAGGAACTGATAATAAGGCGGCGGAAGGCATCAATATGGCGTGGCGAAGCACAGCTGAGCCATATAGCAAAACGAATGACACTCCCCCCCTTATCTATATCAATATGTTCCATACGTAACTCCCACCATTCTTGCTTGTGCCATTCAAGCATAAAGGCTGTCAAGAATATGTCCGCACTCAGAAGACAGGCCTTTATAGGCGAATGGCAACTGAATGCTCTATTATTAATTTCCTTCAAAGATCAAGTTGTCAGGATCTCCACAAATAAACCTTACACACCACAAATAAACAAATCACATTAACATTTTTCCATATGAAAACAGGAGACGTCGATAAGATGAAGATACTTTTAAGTAATAAAAAAAAGATAAGCACAAAAGCCACTGTAATTGATAATCGCCTTGACCGATGTAGACTCTTGACAGAAAATTCTACTTTGAGTCAATACATCTTGCGGCGTGCGATGGAACATGGGAGTGGGTGCTGCTTACATGACGGCCTTGAACAGCTGTCGCAAGTTGTTTCAGACCTTGGGTCGTTCCTCTTCAGAAAACCCGTAGTTCGTGGGGGTCAGTTCTCTCGGACAGGCCGACTTTATTTCTCCCAATTCCTGGCATGTTGTTATTGCCATAGAAGCGTGTCTGCCCCCGCGCGTGTCGCAAGGCCGAAGCGTGCAAAAATAGCATATTGGTTTTCTCCTATCCTGTGGGTGAAGGAGGCTATTGTAGAGTGGGACGGGTTTCTCAATATTTCTCAACTCCATAAGGTTTCTTCAATATCCGTTTGTTATGAGACTGAAGTTTCATATAGCCCATGAGACACTCTCATCTATAAGCATTGGTCATCTCCCCTTCTTCTTGATGGGGTGGCCGAAACTTCCTCGCCGTGAAATCGTGCCTCGAATACTCTCCAGCGGACTAGGTCATTTCTCTTTCTCTCTTCTCCCATATTACATACTCCTCCTCTCCCCCGTTTTGTTGACTTTCCTCTCCCTTCGTAAAGGCCTTCGCCCCTCTTCTCTCTGTACTAAGGCGATGGCAAAAGCCTGCGAAAATACTCATATCGTGGGATCGTGATGCTATCGTCCGCCAAAATTGTCTTAAAGTAAAATATATATTGTATCGCAAGAAAAGGCAACGCATGTAAATGAAGCGCAAGATATGCTGAAGATAGAAAGTAACGAAGACGAATGAGGGAAAAATGACAACAAAACCAAATATCCAAAAAAAAAAGAAAATAATAAAAACAGGAGCTTGGCTCTTCCCAGTGATGTGACGTGGGAGGGGGAGGAGGGAAGTAGCATCCATCAAAGTGACAAATCCTAGTTCTAATGATGCACGCGACCTCTCCTACATGTCGGTGACACACTCCCTTTTTTTTTTCCTTCCCCCCCCCCCCACGTCCTCCCGGTCCTCGTTGAAATTTCCTCTCCTGAATGTCATGACTAGTGATGAACCGAGGGGAAGCTCCCGCTGCTGGAACTGTTTATTATGATGACACCCAGCGCTCGCCTAATGCATTTGTTTGTATATCGAGATGCAGGAGTTCTTGCTTCCCATGGAGTGAGACTGACAAACACACCTCGTGTAAGCAGTTTCATTCACACTGATGAAAGGACGTTGAGCTGGGTCACAGTCCTGCAAAATGGTTTTGAGAAGAGAAAAAGGTAGAGAGAGACAAAGAGTCTCCTCTTCACGTCTCATAAGTCAGTGGTGAATGTGATGTAGCATATGTGGAAGGGTAGATAGATGAGAGGGTGGCCTTGTTTGGCTCGTGCCGAAATGAGGGCCAACACTTGGCACAGTGTCATATCAGTCGACACTTCCATGCACTTGCATTCGGGGGGGTCTCGCTCAAACGTCACGCTATTTTTGCGGTTGTGGTATTTTTCACGTTCATGACACCCGTCAAAACCCCATCTTGGATCCTTCACTGAGGAGGGAGAGGGAGAAAGAAATAGGAGGAAAACCCCTCTACTCTTGCCTGAGAAAAGTGAGCATCTCTTTCTCTTTCTCCCCTTCTTCTCTGGGTTAGTAATCCGATTTCCCTCGCACCAATCTGTGCATGGGGGAACGTCGATAGGATTCCTTTCCGTTCCATTCCTTTCCTTCCGTTTCCTTTGCGCTTTCAAGGCCTTTTGGAGAAAACATTTTCAAGATAAGCCCGAGTACTTTCGAGACTTGCAATTTATCGAGGATGTAATTTTTTCTCTCTCCTTACGAAAGAGAAGGAAAAAATCCCATCAGATGGGATCAGGAGATATAGGAAATCCATTTCTTTTTTCCCCCCTCTTTCATTCTCTACTTCAACTGGGCCTTATTTCGTTCCTCCTTTTTTCTTCTTCCCTTACGGTTCACGTCTCCCTCCCTTCCCTTCTTTCCCTCCCCCGTCTGAAACGACAGAGAGATATAAAAAAAAGCCAGGGAATATCGAGGATTCTCTGCCTGAATGATCCCATTCTTCCGTACATTACCCCTTTCATCTCGGTCCATAACGGGAGTGGTGGAACCTTTGAGAAAATGTCTCTTTTGTCCCCGAATTAGCCACGTTTTCAAAGAAAGGGACCGGAATGACAATGGAAGGGATTTATAGGCTATTTATTATGGTCAATATTGCATCTCTAAAGTAAATGCCTTCTCGTAAATGGAAAGCATCCCCATGGTCGGGATTTAAATTAAAATCGTCTCATTTTCGTAGGTATTGGAGTTTTTACAGGGATTTATATCATCTCCAGAGTTCCGAGAAATATGGGCTGATTCTATTTTTTATCTCGCTATGCCCGAGAACTTCCAAAGCATTCACGTATGGAGAGTTCATTCCTTATCAGGGTCGCTTTTCGTAAGCTGATATCACGAAAAGAAGAGTTGGGGATATATTCCATAGGTTTTTCACGACCAGCCAGCGAAGAATCGGTTTACAGAAGGTTTCTGTCATTGACTTCACTGCCCCTTTCGTGAAATACACTTCAGGAGCACGTTCATGAGAACTTCTTCGGCAAAACATGAAGGATCTGACAAAAGTGGTTGAGTAACTGTTCATAAAATGTGCTTATTGTGAGTTGAAAAGTGAGCTCAATTGATTGAAAGCTGCCCATGATGCTTCCTGAGAAGCACTTTGGGTTTGGAAATGTGCGGTGTGTGCGATAGGGTGGGGAGTCAGCCTTTCTTTGGAAAGGGGATTCTTTATCCAGGACGAGCTCCCTATTAGATATCGCGCTTGGGAATGCGACAATGGAAGAGGGGCGAGGGACGTGTCATTTCGGCCTGGATGCGTTCATGCAGCTCCAATGAACCATCATCCCAGCAGCTCCTTTCCTCATCATCACCAAGCCTGGCTCAAAAGGGGTCTCTCTCTCTTTTCTCCCTCCCCCTCTGATAAATGAGAGAGTCGAGGTTACAAATGAACCTGCGAATTGCCTGGGAGAGGACATGCAGCAGCATGTGCGACGTGTTTCCTCGTCAAATATATGATCCACCTCCGAAATAAACTCTTGCCAAACCTTACCCCACTCCTTGTCACTTCCAACACCTTCTTTCTTCGCGTTCTTGTCCAGACAGAGAAGGGAAAGGAAGGGAAAAAAAGTATTCCCAGCTTCGACTCGTTAATACTCGGATTCCATTTTTATCGTGAACTTTCCAGGATTGATGTCATCGAAGTCTTCTTGGAAAGTAATTGGAACGCGACAGACGGAAGCACGGAAAAATGAATTTAGTAGAAGCTGGAGGGAGAGGGGATTGGTTGTGAAATCGAGTTTCTGGGTGAGATCCTGGATAACCGAATCACGGAGACCGGGTCATGACAGGATTAATTCTCCCGTTTACGGAAGAGGATCAGTGAAGTGGAAAATTGGGACGAAGGGAGAGGGAAAAGAGCCCCTCTACCTCTCCTCTCTCTTTTCTCTATAGAACTTCGAAATGCTCCATTACCCTACATGAAAATCTCTCCCTGGAAAGCACAGTAGTCTCTATGAGCATATAAGGGCTGCGATTACCTTGAGAATACTCTCGAGGATATTCCACTCTACCCCTGGGGAAATGAAATCTCTCCTTTCCACCAAGAGAGTGCGTTTCCTTTTCCTTTACTTTCGGGGCTTCCAATATTCCTCATCATTCATTCATGTATTCATGAGACGAGATCGAAAACCCATGAAATGAAGAGACACTGAAACCAAGAGACGGACGTCTTGATTTCGATTTTATTATACCATTTTATCATCATCATATACTGCATACCTTCCCCGCCACTAATTTACCTAACAAATATGCGACACAGAGTGCTCAAATTGCTAACACGCTGCACACTTATCACAACGATGATGGACCTGAATGAGGCATCATACAAAAATACTTTCTTGTCTCAAAAGATCAAGTTCTGTCTGTCTTCCGCGTTTCTTAAAGCCCTGTTCGAAAATATCAGGGAGGTTCTTCTCAGTCGATATTGCTATGCAGTTCTGCGGTCCCTCGTGAATTTATAGGTTTCTCCCCCTTTTTCCTCCTTCCAGACCCACAAGATCACAGCTCACACGTTGAATGCTAAATTCACCGATTTGAAACAAGCTTTAGGACTTTTTGGCAACTCATCAATATAGGCCTAACCACCGGTGGAACCATATTCCCCCTGTACATCAAGTAACGGATACTTTTGTACAACGTATGTAGATACCATACCATGTATGGATAGTCCATATACACAGAACATGTAGGTCGAGGAAAAGAACTGGGCATACTCGTTCGGATGCATTCCAAGAGGAGAGAAACAAGACACACAGACACATACACATCACACACGAGCACGATAGCACCATGGAGCGACAGCTGGAAACGTCGAAGTGCAGGGCTCATCAATGGACGAATGCAGCCAAGATGAGAAAGATGATTAGGACCAGGGATCCCATTCCCAGTGGCTTCACTCCTCTCTGCCCCATACTTATCGCCGAACAGTCCGCTGCGTAAAGAAGGCAGAAGGGGAATTTCCCGTAAATCAGCGACTCAGCGATGAGGCTTCTGAGTAGCGCTCTCCTATCAGGGACATTTGTTTCTCTCGACTTCGTTGGCATGGTGATAATCTGAAAATAGTTGTCTCGCTTCGCTTTTTCCCTTTCCATGATTTTCTTAACGTCAGCCATCTGAACGTTCGGGCATCGGACAAAAAATTGTTTCAACAAATTCTTTGAAAAAAAAGTACTCATAGAACGGTAAAAAAAAAAGACTAGGCGTGAGTGCAGTACACAACTGTTCTCCAGAAAAAGATTTAGAGCAGTTCTGTCCTTTCTATTTTGTTCATTTATGACTTCCCCATAAAAATGATCCATGACCTGTGTATATTGTAGGTGTAGTAAAAATACTACACAAAAAATACTATGCGTAATGCCGTGGCTGTAAACGTACTGCACTGTTATCAGTTCTTGGTATTTTATAATATAATATAATAATATGAAATATAAGTATAGTGCAATTCATCCTTGTATTTTTTAATAATAAATAAACACATGAACGAATAGTTTATCAAAAGTTAATGCATGCCTGCGCCACTTCCCTCTTAAACTTATTTAAGTGACTACGTCGGGAGTACGAAAAAACCCCTAAAAACTGGCGTGGTGCAGGACCATTTAAAACTCAGCAGTTAAAAGGTTAATGCCTAAGGTCTACTACGATCGATGATACGAACTACGATCCGTGGTAGCATTTCGAGTTTCGACAAGTTCGCCCACCCCTGCTGTAGTTGGGTCCGATCTGCTCCTCAACAAAAATTCCCTCCTGTAATGCTGGTAATGAAGTGATGCAGTCGTGATCGTTGTGCACGCGATGTGCACAGCCTCCATGACCTCTTTATCGCATCGCTAGCAATCATGAATCCATGATCAAAAGCCTCTTACTAAGATAATAATAAAATTTGACAGAAAGATGAATTTCTCCGTAGTTTGCATTTACAACAAACTAGCATTTCGAGACATGCTTAGCCTGCTTTGAAAATTCCGGCCCACTTATAAGGTAGTTGTTAAAACCGGTGCACGGTTATGGAAGAGAAACCTGAGGCATAATGACAGGTACAGTCAAACTCGGTTATAACGTCATCGAAGGGACCAGGTAAAAACCGTCGTTATATCCGAGGTTGCCTTTATTGGCACTCCATTTTCCTGTTTTCAAAATTGATGCTAGAATAACGTTACAACTCTAGTTTACATTGCTCATACTGCACTAGCTTCAGTTTCAAGAATGACCCGCTAATCGTGATGTTCGGGCTTCTTTGGGCATTGAACTACTTTATACTTTAACAAGGCACAAGGCTTCGTCGATGTCATCTGGACAGATCTAAGAAGTTTCTTGTTTTGTGACACGTTCTCGTGAGCACGGATGAAACTGTCACGATTTTCCCAAATTGTGGAAACAGATGAACAGGTGTCCATGTTCGCGAGCGACGTTAGCCTTACTTCGAGCTCTTTCTATTAAACTAATCGAGCACACTTTCCTTTCAATCGTGAAGGCTTGCCTCTTTCGTTTTCCATTGGCAATGCTGTCAAATGCAAATGCAAATGGCGACTGAAGATGAGGTGATCTTAGTTGCTGGGAATTATCCTTCCCTGACATTGCTCCAGCCACGCCCACATGACTCACAACCGAATCCAGGAAATATAAAGTAATGGCTCGCCGACGCTGATTTTTCAGATGACGGAAATTTCAGTTAAGAATGACGGATTAGGGGCACGAACGTTGTCGATTTCGTCAGTGGGACCTTGAATGGACTTCGTTATAACCGAGGTTTCCTTATAACCGAGTTCGCTATAACCGGGGTAAAATGTAACGTGCCTTATGGGCTCTACGCCGGGACCTGGCGCTTTTGTCGTTATAACCGAGGTTTCGTTATAACCGAGGTCGTTATAACCGAGTTCGACTGTATCAAATACTGAGATTTTGCATGCATGCGATTTTGCCGTTTCGAAGGGATTCGATAACTTACCGACGTATGTAGCATTGAAAGCCATGATCTCGGCCTGGGAGTGGGAGGAGCAGGAGCCCTGAAGAAGTAGGAAGCGGCTTGTGGGCTGAGGTGACTCCAACCCTTGTTGACCTTTGCCTTGGTTGAAATGGAGGTCACTGTAAGACCTCCTCATTTCTTCGCTCACGACACATACACGATGGTTCGGTCCCGGTTCTAAGGGCGTCGCCACCACATGGTTTCGGCTACCCTCTCTCCAAGATCCATGGCACGCATACTCTGTCGAAAAGGGGTTAAAGTCCTCTTTCGCATTCATCTTCCTTACTTACTATGCAGATGAATTCCATGAGTCACCCAGTACGGATCGATTTCAAACAAAGCCTCTCTTAGTGACTTCATTAGTCTAGGGATGTCTGGCCTCCCCTTTTCAAGGCAGATGTGCTTCGCGAGCCCTCTGCACTAGTGGCTCGCGGAACCTCAAGGGTGATTCGAGAAGATAATTTAAAGCAGTATTTACTTTTTGATCCATAGGATCCATTGATTTATTTGCTTATAATAATCCATTTGATACAGGCCCGTAAAGGGGGAGGGGGTAAAAGCTTTTGCTCTGGGGCCCCGTGCCCAGGGGGTCCCCACGCCGGCTATCATACTATTGTTCAGTAGCGTGGCGTTCGTTAGCAATGAAGAGATGATTTAAGTGTGTTTAAAGTGGGGAAGGACGAGTAGAAAGGTAGCCGTCGTATACATATTTGCCCCGGGCCTCACAATTCCTTTCGGCGGCCCTGATTTGATACGCCTTATTACCTGTCCCGGGTATAATCAACAATCGCGGAGAGTGCTCCAATAATGACTCTTATGAGATCACATATTTCACAAGTAACTGATCCTCGAACGATTTTTGGAATATGGCTTCACAGTAATACTTGGTTTTGCTTGGTTTGAAGCACTTTCTTCGAAAATCGTTTCATTTCAAATTAATTCCTTATTCCATAATCATTCGATGATCAAGGAGCATCTGAAAGTGCTCTCTAAAGCAATGTCTCGTCAGTCTGATGGAATAAAGCCTCCCTGCTGTTGCTTTTTCATCGTTTTTTTAACTGAAGTACTGAGGATTACCTCCGGAACAGAAACAAATTGTAGTTATATGAATTGTTTTTTATTAATTAAATAAAGGACTATTTGGGGAAACTTTTAGGGTGGATTTTTGAACAGAGCACTATCCGATAATGAAGCTTTATTTACCGGATTTATAATGCATTTTCTCTGAAATAAAGTTGCATTATCGGATAATGTTCTGTTAAAAAAATCCACCCTTATTTTTCTTTGCAAACTTACTACGAACTTCCGCATTTTCAAGGTGAAGTTATGCAGATTCGAACATCAATGGCTGAAATTTCATCCTTTAGAGCCTGGATTCACATCTTCAATATATGATCATTTATTTTCATTAATAGAAAAAATCAATTATTTTCAAATATATTAACTAGCTTTGTGAAACATCTCGATCTTGGGATATGAGCCTCGCCAGGCCTCTAATTCTGAGTTTTTGCCTCGCTAGGTGAAAAGACTGGACATCCTCGCATTGATCCCTCCTGATTACTCCTTCCCTTCTTCCCCTCCCAATAGATCTTATTTTTCATAGATTGGAAGACTGGATACGATTTGGGACTCACTAGAAGGATTGCGGCAGGGATGCATGATCTGGAATTTGTGTTCCACAGTGCAACCCGATGAGAGGCGAGAGGGTGCCTGGGGACAGGGGTCGTCCAACGGTGGCGGGTCCTCACCTAATACGCTGTAGTGACCTTGCCACGGACACGGACGGATAGAAGGGTGGGAAGCTGAGGCAAAAGAAGGAAAAAATGGACAGAAATTATATGAATGCATAAATAAATATAAATACAAACACCAGCTCGAACATGACGTAATTAGTAGACAAAATAGGAGCTCACGGGTGAGTATCACAGATGCGGAGTCCCTTAGGAAGAAGGAACTTTGTTCACAGGCCTCTTCAGGCGTTTGACTCAGGCCACCTGCAAAGAACGCGCAATAAGAGAGAATGACCGCAATCTCTGACATGCATTGCAATGGGAGAAGCCCATCAAGTTGATGAGAGGACAATTACAGAAGCCATCCCCAATCTCAAAAGAATGCCTTCCTCTTTGCCTCTCTGTGGATTCTGCCTTTTCGTTCACTAGAACCGTTGAATATTCCACGGAGGTCTTTATTTCTTCCTGTCTTTCATTTTCGGCGCATATCTGGGAGGCATCGGAATGGAAAGAGCGGCTCATTATGCAAATCTCCTCATTATAGCGGAGAATGGAGATGCTCGCGATCCACGGAAACCTATATTCCTTTGACAAACCAGGCTTTCATCTTCGCACAGACGAATCTTCTTTTCCTTTCGTCAGAGCAGTGAATTTTCCATTTCAGTTGTCGAAAGCATATTACATTCTATCTCTTGAGAGAACCATACTACTCCAAACCTAGATGCGCACATGAACTTACTTATTTGCCTTTGCAGGACTTCGTCATGTCGACGAGAATAGTGGACGCACGCGTACCCAGAATCACTGGAAATATAGAAGATAAAACCAAGGAAGTTATTTTCAATTTTAATTAAGTCTACATTGTAAGATAAATGTCGAATGACGAATCTTACCATCCGTCGGTGACGTAAGAGACTAAGTGAAAGCGAAACTCCTCCTGTTGTAATACTCGATGGCAGAGTTCGGTCCGAATAGGACCGTCGGCCTGTAAGACTTCTAGGGTGTCATTGCGACCCGGGCTGGAGAATCCGTAGGACGTCTTCCCGTCCAGACTCCGCCATTCTCCTCCGGTCAACCACGTTGGATATCGACAGCCAGCACCGGGCGGTTTCTCTGCAGTCCAACGAGAAAGATATGATGTAATTAGACTGAAGAGAAACTCTCGTTCCATTATGGGGCTCCATTTCAACCACCTTCTGATTCTTTCTCCTCCTTATGTTTTCAACTTTTATGGACGACCTCAGAAACGAAAAAGCCAGATGAAACTTTTGTCGACGTAAGGAAATTTACCCAACACTTACTACTCTTGCGTGTCTCAAACTCAAAAATATATTTTCGGAAGGCCCAGTTTGGAAAAAATCTTGCCTGTTTCAGCAACAAATGCCAGTACTGTGAGACGCAGTTCTCATAGCGTGATAGAGGGTGTTTGCCAAGTAACTCGGAAACTTTTTTTTAGTGACTTACAAGTGTAACAGACAGGAAATACTCATATTTAGTTCAAAATGAATTCAATCCTAGGAGTTTTCTTTCTGAAATTGAACAGGAAACTAAAGTAAATTACGGGTGCTCCACAAAACTAGAAACAAGAATGGCTCAAAATTGTTCAAAGCTACTTGCATTTGCAGGACTTAGAGAGGGCCAATTGAACGACCGGCTGATCTGTTGCCTTTTTTCATTTTGAGGCCACTTGAAGTAAAATTGCTAATGCTTGAAAGCATGCCATTTGCGGGGAATATTGTGCGATTCCCTCTGCAACAATCATAGCAATTTCGCACGTGGCTCTCAGTACGCTGCCTGTCTTGTCTCGGAAAAAAAAAGTATTGATTTCATTTCACACGGAAGAGATATTTCCTCTTTCGCTTGTGAGTTCATAAAAAAAAGAATTTGCTGAAATATTATCAAATACCTCGTAAACAGAGTTTACATTTGCGATTGTAATAGCTATGGGATGAGTTTGACCTTATATACGTATAGAGGAGATTCACCGAGTCAGTACAAGTCTTGACAGAAATAAAGGCAAGGGTAAAAAGGATCGATAACGACTTACTCGGTAAGTCTCCTCCATACGTTCCCTTCCGGTCCCGGTCTGCTGTCTTATCTCGTGGAAGTCTAATTCTTTTCTGCCATCATCTGATTTATTAGACAGATTTATCGATATCGTAACTCTATCCCCCGAGTATGAGTGATGATGAGCAGAAAAAGTGGTTCGGTTCTGGCGATATAAGTTTGTCTGGAAATTCCGACTCCAAAGAGCTCTTTCAATAATTAAGTACATGGTACTTAAACCATCACGCATATTAAGAAATATATTTACGGTAATTTCATATATGCATGTTTACTGCCATTTTAGCAGAAAGAAGGGAACTCAAGTATTGATAGTATGGCTCATCTACAGCTACATCACCCAGTCAAATGGAGCCCTGCGCATGGGTCGAATCCTACTGAGAGTGAAATCAAAATTGTTAAATGAAAATCCTACTGACGTTTGGCAGTTTAAATTGGTATGCTTGATCTATGGCGAGGTTAATGGCTAAGATCCAAACTATCGGTCAGATTATCAGCTCGCCTGGAAAACCAACAGAACCTGACTTTCCCAATAACACTGCACCTAGACTGATACTGGCGAATGCAGTTTCACTTAACATGTTCAGTCGGCGTAGAGGTCAGACTAGAGATGTCCAGTCACTTCTCGAGTTACCTTTAGCAGAAACTTCCAGGAGTCATTGTGTTCAACTGAGCGGTTCAGTTCGTAATTTTTTACTGGTGGCCTGACACCATAATAAGTGGTTTTTGGGACGATCAAGGGAAAATAAGGGTCTCCCTAGGGATAAGGGGTTGCAGTGCATTCATAATTGATACCCCCGCGCCCCATTCACAATGCCCGGGTCTGGGAGCAGTAAGAAAAATTGCCCCATGGGAGAACAAAAGCGACTCACCTCGAATAAGCCTGAGAGTTCGGGAACCCTCGTAGGCAGAGAAAAGCCCGTTGCAGGTGGCATCCCCGGATTGAGCGATTCGGAAATCAATCTCTTCTGATGGCTCCAGGCTTTCCTCGTAGACGAAGCAACGGTACGAGTCCTCGTAACTAGTCGCCCGGGAATGGGTCACCACTCCCACGAGGTATCTCGTTGCACCTTCTTTCCATTGGGCTATACATTCCACATCTTCCACTAAAAAAAATAATGGATCATTGCTTCAAAATACCTGTAAGTGACGAAGAGATACATGGCGGGGGGAAGTTCGCTCTGTTCTCAAATGATTTCGGCCGCAAGGAATGTGTTCTCATTAATAATTATTACTTAAAAAAAAGAAAACCTTTTAAGTCAAGAAGGTGCAGTGGAAGAAGCCAAATAAGCAAAACCAAAATACTAAGCCTTCACTTGGCCCTAGATTGAGATAGATCGATGCCACCAATGATTAAAGCCCGCTTTCAATTCCCTCTTCCACAACTGCCTCTCTTTATCCCCCATGAAAACTAGGGAAAGTTTCTTGTCTAGTTGTTTCTCCAGTCTACAGAAAGTTTTTTTTGCCAGTCGTATTTCGTGTTCAACCATGAATTATCTTAAAATAGCACCATATTTTCCCATTATATCTTCATTACAGCAATGCGATTAGCATAGCCCTTTAAGTGCTTAATACCCCACATGAAACTCATTTTAGGCTCTTGCCTCAAACAGAAACTTGAAATGAGATATTTCACCTAGACTTCTAAACGTTACTGATGTGTCAAAAGTCTACCTTGGGCTTTCACGTGTCTCCACTTCTAACTATCCCACGAGAATGGAGTGTATGAATCGACGAAACGATAACATCCCAAAAAAAAACCCTCAGATCACAGAAATTATCAGCCAAGCAGTGGGGCTCTTATCCAAAGCATAGTCGTTCTGCAAATAGTTGGATATAGGGCTTAGGGACACTTCATGGAGCAATAAGGAATTGCATTGGCTGACCTTGGGCACCATTATCAAGCTTTCGAGGATTGAACATTTTCTGAAAACGTCTCATTCATCCACTCGAGACTCCGTGATGAGAAATATAAAGCCTAAATATGATTGATTTTGATATTTCCGTACAAGCTCACGGTCGACAAGGTTCATGAAACGAAATGCTGTATTACCGTTTGTTTTCGAGTCAGTTCTAAAGGGTTCCTAAAGTAAGATGAATGAAGACCTAAAAGAAAAAAATCGTCTGTGCTCGTATATGAACCCGGAAGATGGGAGGGCGTAAGGCAACTAGAGTCTTCCAAAAACTTTTAATTGCCCTAAGTAGTAACTCCCATCAATTACATGAATAACAGCCTCCGAGAAAATAAATCCAGGCTTGCATTGGATCAAGTATCGCAATCAGGTGTGATGGATGGGGCCTATATGCATCTTGTCGGCCAATATTTGTGCACTATATCAAATGTGAAAGGTATAGAGAACACAAGGGAAGTGGAGTGGAGGGGGTGGAGGAAGGAGAGGGCAATCTCGGCATACGCAAGCCAGTATCTATAATAGAAGAGGGTAATGGAACATCCTACTCGTGTCCCAGGTGGAACAATTTTCATCATGCAGAATCCATCCATCCAGTCATCCATCCACCCTCTACCACGCCCTAGCAGAGCCCTGAAATTCCTCACTGGGACAGAATGAGACCATTTCTTTTCCTTTCCTTATTCCATTGTGACAGGGAATGAAAAAGGATATTCCACTCCCTCCATTCATGAATCTCTGTCCTCGGTCCTCATTACGAGAAAAGAAATCGCGTTTTCCTCTTCAATCAAGCCAATATAAGGGGAGGAAGAAGGCGGAATTTCTCCCTTCCTGTCCCAGTGGGATGGGATAAAAAGTTTTCCCCATTTCGGTCGAGTTGGGGAAAAAGACTGCACTTTGCAAGACAAACATCGCCCCAATGGCCTCGCTTTTCACCCTGTTTTTCCTTCCCTCTTGTGCAAAGGGAGAAGAGCCTCAGTAATGACGACTCAGTTTGGATTCAATCTCGAGTTCTAAACCCATCTTTTCCCCTCGATCTCGTCGTGTGTGGACGAGTGGATGGTCTTGCAATATCAGAGATCGTTACTTATCCGAGGTGGACTCATTGGCTCGATGCGAGGGAAAGGCCCTATCTCCCCCTCTAAGGCCATTCCCAATATCCTTGACAGGACATACATTATCCCAGCCCAGATCGGCCCTTTCCAGCTTTGTCTTTTTTCATTAGCAGACTGATGCAGGGAATCCCAGTCACGAAAAATATCCATCTATTTAGTTCAGCTGTTACTAGATCGAGATAATTGGAGATCATTGTTCGTGATCATCGCCTCCTCAATTCTCATCTACATTCATACCATGTCATGCTTTCAAAAGGAAGCAGGGGATAATTCTAAAAACTGTTTGCACTGAGAGACTATATTACAATATTAGAAAGATCTCCGAATCAGTGTTCAGCATTTTTTTAATGAATAATTTTCCCTTCATAATACTTCTGATTAGCATTGGGATAAGTGAGTTACAAGCCCTAGTTTCGTTATACTAAAAGGAAAGTGATTATGGTCAGGTCCGACGTTTCATAGAGCAAAGTAATTCCAAGCGAATTTCAATTTAGCGAATTCACTCTCGACTCAATAACTGTCTTCCGATCCAAGGACAGGAACTGATCCGACTCACGATATATTTGATTGAAAAGGCCTAGATCTTAGCGATTAGCTATAATATCATGATTTCCTCATCTCATCAGCCTCTCGAAGACACTTTGGTTCCATGGTCCAATCCTTTTGATAGGAGAGCAGTAGACAGTCGCTAAATCAAGAGCGAATGAAGACTACTCGAGTGATCGATTGCCTCTTTGATGAGTGCATGTCAAGGCTCTGATCCTTCCCAGAAATAATTTTATGTGGAAGTCGCGCAGTGCAAGAACTTAGTCCTGTTCTAAACCTGGATTCTGAGCGTCCCTAACAGACTGCATCTATTGTATAGGCATTGGTCTCGGTTCAAATATGGTGTAAGTGTTCCACGTTGCCATGATCGACCAGTGTTAGTGACGAGGAGTTTTTTTTTAATGCCGAAACTACCGCAAACACGGAACCCAGTGACACAGTACACACAGTATTCTATATGTTGCTGGCCTCGTGCCATTTTCACCTCTCTTTCCTTCAGTTTCACAGGCTCATATTCTACAGGGTGGACCAAAAGTCTCCATACATAGGGAAAATTAACACTTTTAAAAAAAGTGTAACTTTAACATAACGCATAACACCAGATGTATTAACGCGAGTTCACCATGAATGGGAGAGTCGCATCCGTATGTGTTTTCAAAGTAATGGCAACCATGTAGAGCATATTTTGGGAATAAAGTTACATTTTGTTAAAAAGTGTTAATTTTCCCTATGTATGGAGACTTTTGGACCACCCTGTAGAATTGGCGTAGGTCGAACCAGCCAGGGGGATACGTGGATGAGTCTTGTTTTTACGACTGTGGAATGGAGGTGGGCCGCAATTATGCCTATACTGATGTGAAGCAGATATTGCTTCTTGGCCAGGCCTGACGTTAACTGAGTAGTATGGACTGAGATCCAATAGAAATAATATTTCTGGTCTCTTCCGATCTGGTTCTGATCCGACCTCGATCTCCACTCAATAATGAGCCTTTGCTTGGCCAAATATTGACCCCCAAGATCGTTTCGGACAGAAGATCCAAAGTCATCAAACAAAACAGATTTAGAACTCGTGCTGGCGTAAACCCTTGCAGACTTGCGCAACAACCCATGATGAAATACGAGGAACTCTCTTTACACCAACACCGAACTGATTGATGGCGTTCCGCGTTTATGTTCGAGGTACACGGGCTCAAAACACCGGAAAATCATAGTGTCACCCTATAACACGGTTGCCTCAGTTCAAAATCGGTACTTAGGAATGGATTTCATGTTGCTCCGAACACTACCACCATATCTGAAGTAACTTATAGACAAGACTCTTCACTTAGAACTGGATCGCTTCATTTGTGAACCCTTTTGTTTACAATTTGAACGTGGAGCGCATTAAAGTCTTTATAGTGCCTGTTTTGTTTAGGATCGTCTGACCGGACTGATTGGACTGGACATGGATGGATTACCAATAGTGTTGGATTTCCTGTGTAAAGAACCTGACTGGAAATGGACTCTGGCTTCCGCATTAGATCGTGCTTGCTTTTTAAGCTGATACTCTAACGACGTGAGTATTCAACGGAATAAGCGCACCTGAGCTTTCGGTGCCGGGGACATCGGGGCAGGCGTGGAAGCGGAAGAGAAGTCGTGCATCGGTAGTGCAGGCCTTCACCTGACTCACGGGGTCGACACACCACCCGTGACCTCGGCTGTAAGTGAACTGGAAGTGACCTTGGACGGGACAGGCGATAGGGGTCGGGTTGATGCGGAAGATGGAGAACAACATCGTGTCTCCGGTGATCCGATTGCACAATGTCTCCATCTTAGATGGCCCGCTGCAATAACCTGACAAAAGAATAGAACGTTTTATTGATTTCCGCCTCTCCATCCTCATTATATAATGGAGACAAGAATTCTCATTTGATCTGGGAACCTACTTTCTTTGTATTGCAGCACGTTCTTATGCTTCTCGTGGACCACGATGCAGCGGTAGCAATTTTCTCTCCTGCCCGCAGAAGAAAGGAAAACGATGTCAAGGGTCCTCCTTACCGAAAATTACTTCTTTGGCTCGGGGAACCCGAGATGATTTCTTTCACTATCGCTCCCTGTGACCTCTAAGATAGAGCACTTAATGGTAGGCATATGCTTGACGCGACGAATCGTGGGTATATAGCTGTATACTAGTGAGGTTGTATAGCTGGAAAGGGGCTCGGAGGGAGAAGAGAGGAAACTCTAATCCCTAATTCCCAGGGGGATGATCTCATGCCAGTGGCCTCTTCATCGATTTTTCCCTCCATCGATATACTCAACCCTCCCGTAGATACACCCCCCGCATGCACTTTACTCCCCGGAGACGGAGATGAACTTTTTCCAAATCGTACTTGTCGTGAAGGAGAAACTTGTCCTTATGGCTCTGTTGAATACAGTTGCCTTTCAAGGAGATCCGATCTTCTTCGATCACCATCGGCTCACGGAGTCCGGATTGGAACCATTTCCCTTGCCAGCGCTCCGGGAATCGGCATGATGTCCCACCTGACACACCCACAAGCATCATCAACGCATTAATGAAAGCTGCTTGGAGTGTTGAAAATAAACTCATTATTCAGTAATACCTCTCATACAACTATTCATCTCTTCACCATTGACTCAAGGAGGGGTGAACTCAATCGAAAATCACTGTAAAAATTTAAAAATATCGGACATTGTAGTGAGACAAGGATTTCACTGTTGGTGTCCAGCAATGGTAAAGTTTTTTTTATTTCAGAGGATGAGTAGTTAAATGGAGTAAGTAGTTCTCTCGTCAAACCAAACGGGTCAACCAAGATTCTAAAAGCGACATGGTGGCTTAAAGAGACACCGAGGTTTAAAAGATTAGTATTTAGTGGCGGTATTCCCATCAGAGTGGATCCAGTCTATTACAATTAAGACCACTATAGCTTTCACTCTCTTTCCGTTCGTGGTCCTCTTAATTTCAATAGACTGGATCCATTCTGTTGGGAGTCCCGCCTTGGAGTACCAGTCTAAAATTCTTTAAAGAGGATATATCCCCTTTGTTCGAGTTGTTTCTTCATTAGCATTCTCCCTGTGTTGAATCAAGCGGCAGTTCATCTTATGCAAATCATTTTTTTGTCCACGCCGGAGTAAATTCCCATTTCCAAACCGAACTGTACGTTTGGGTTCTAATAGCTGTTCCCTTCCTTTGTCGCAAAGGGATCGAAAGAGGATATGAAAGGAAATCGGATCTTCTCGCCTGCAGCGCCAATGAACGTAGAGACACAAAAGCCACCAGGCCTCATGGGGGATTATCGGCTTCAGTTGAGGCATAATTGAGCCGTAGTAACCCCTTTCTCACACCTCTGTCGGTCTACCCTCCTCATTAGGACTCGGTACTCATTATCTCCCTTCATTAATTAATTCCCTTCCAGTGAATGCACCCTCTATTGTGGAAACTCCATCTCGCCGGCTTTCTCGGAGCTTCATTATCAACTTCATTCGGTTGGAAGGGAATAGAGACTCGGAAGGGAATAAACTCTCGGAGGAAAAAAAAAATAAAGCACACGGACGTACTCACCGGCATAGGGAAGAACGGATGACGTGATCCAGAACCCCCAGAGGGCCCAGCACATCTCCTTTCCCTGTTAAAGAACAACCAAGGGAAACGGGCATTAGCAACTTTGTTTATAAGTGGTCTTCCTTCACTAAGGATACGATTACGCTTTACAGGTTTTATGTGAACGTTCGGAGCCTCACAAGTAGCGGCCTCTTCAGTGCAATAAACGATTATCAGTATTTGTATTTGCGAGCCTGATATGTAGCCTTGTCAAGGTAAAATGAGGCACGTTGACAATATAAACAAAATATAATACTTTATTCAAGTTATCTGGAATCGCAAACTTTGCGTCTCGATAATGAAATTCGTATTGGCCGATGACGCAGTGGGAGACCTCGACTCACAGCTGGTTTCCTTTCAGTTTCTATGGGGAAGACATCGCACCTGTTACATTACACTTTTTTTTTCCAAGCCAGTATTAATTCAGATTGCTTTCACATTTCACTTGCAACCGAGTTCAGTTCTAATAGGTAGATAAATCACTCATTCCAGCTGTAAACCTGGTAGATATGTGGATAGATTTTCAAGTACTTTTTTCTATACAAAACAGTACACTGAATGTGAACTGTGTGAAGGTGTAAACATTGCAATCACGTTAGAACTACTTACATTTCATTATCAGGGAGCATATGTTCATGCCGCATACATATGGAAACCGTGATTTTGCTGATGCTGTTAATAATTCGTCATCAGAAATCACCCTTAGGAATGCAAGGTGATGAAAGAACTCACCCGAGTCATGGAGGGGGGAATCGAAGAATCAGCACAATCGTTCCAGATCACACCAGGTCATAGACGCATCCGCGGTCACAAGACTCACATTACGATCTCATGCCCATGAATGCATGAGGGGAAGAGTCTCGCACGCACACGCTAGATACACCGGTACAAGGAAGCCCGACAGCAGCACTCTGGTGTCATCTCATTCCCGGCTTCCTTCTTTTCAACTCTTACCCTCTTCATTCCGCTCAGCTCCACTCCCCCCTCTTCGATTCTTCGCGTATGCGCTGTGGGGATCCCAGCGTACCCAGCGCAAACGCACGAACTAGTTCCGTTCTCCGCTGTCAGAATGCGCACGCGCCAATGATGGGGATTTCTCCCCATGCAGTCTGGAGAGGTGTCCGTCTCTAATTCATGAAACATTCATCTCTCTTTCCCCCATGATGAGACTCAGAATAGTGTCTAATTAAACCACAATGAATACAAATACCCCGATGCCCCATAGCATTTCAAACGGAGCTCTTGTCTTCTCGTTTCTGTCACCCACGGGCATCAGAAACATTCCTCATTCCTCGATATCTGGTCTTGAAGGGATCCCCATACCAAAGGAGAGGGAGTCCAAGGGCTGTCATTCTCAAGGTAAAGCTGTGAAGGCGATGCCAATTGCATGCCTAGTCCTTTCCGGTCAATATTGAGAACCCATATCCGGCGGTCTGTCACAGAGGCAAGACAAAAGAGAGGAAAAGAGGCAGCGATGGAAGTAAAAAAAAAATAGAGGGGGGGGGGGGGGGGGGGGGGGGGGGGCG